AGTTAACGGCTTATTTTGGTTTAGAAATTTCCTTCTGCCCAAAGGTGTTGGAATTTTGAAAATCAATGTAATTTTGTTAACTGACTACATGATGTGTTTTAAGAGTATCTTATAGCATGTTGTATTGTCGACCCAAAAGGTGATTTTATGATGATGCACCTAGGCTCTTACCGTAATAAAATTCATATGTTTCGATTTAAATTACGGATTATCTAATTAATAGCCCATATTAATTAGTTGGATATTTCATCATCCATTTGATTGCATGCATTAAGTTTGGATGATATTAAGAGTGATATTTTATGTTTCCACAGTTTATAATGTCTCATCTCTTTCGAATCAATTGTCTGCTATTGAAACTTTGACTGGGAATAACTATGTGAGATGGAAACGAAACGTAGAAATAGCACTTGATTTTTTGGGTTTGAATTTTGCAATGGAGAAAAAGCTTGAAAACCCCACAGATAAGAGTATCGTTGAATATGTAGCCGAGCATGAAAAGTGGAAAAGGGCTAACAAACTCTGTTTGAAAATCATTAAGCGATCGATATCTGATTCCATTCTAGGTGCCATCCCTGATAATGAAAATGCCAAAAGTTTTATGGATGCCATAGGAGAAAAAATTATTGAGTCTGATAAAGCTGAAACTGGGGATCTGATGGATAAATTTATGAGCATGAAATATGATGGCACAAATGGTGTTAGGAAGCATGTCATGAAAATGATACATATATCATCTAAGCTAAAGGCTCTTGACATTCCCATTGCGGAGCCTTTCCTGGTCTATCATGTTTTGAATAGCCTTTCTAGCAAGTTTAATCAGCTTAAGGTTGCTTACAATGCTCAGCGGGATGAGTGGAATTTGAATGACCTCATAGCAGTGTGTGCCCAAGAAGAGTATAGGATGCGCTGTGAAACTGTTGAAACTGTGCAATTAGCTTTTCAGCCATCACAGGATAAGGGGCCTTCTCATAATCATAAACCTATGTTTTGTAAGGGTAATAAGTCCCACCGAAGTCAGCAGAATAAAAATCTTAGTAGTCCCAAAGCAGTTATAAAGAAAAATGATCAATGCAAGTTCTATAAAAAGAAGGGTCACTGGCAGAAAGACTGTTTTAAGTTCAAGACTTGGTTGGAAAAGAAGAAGAGTCTTCAGGTATTCCCTTGGCCTTAGTTTGTTTTGAGTCTTCTTTAGTAGATGTACCTTTGAATTCTTGGTGGTTAGACTCAGGAGCTAATATTCATATTGCGAATTCCTTTCAGGGGTTCATAAGCAAATGGAGGCCAAGTGAGAATGAAGTAAGTTTGAGCGTTGCAAATGGATTCCAAGTGAAGGTTGAATTCATAGGAGTAGTGAAGTTAACTTTAGAGTCTGGTTTTTATCTTGTTTTGGAAAATACAGTTTATGTAGATGAGACGGAATTTAATTTCTATACCAAAACTTGATGCTTGTGGTTTTACATTTAATTTTGGTAATGGAATGGTTAAGTTATTTAATGATTCTCGTTTGATTGGAAATGGCATTTTATGTGATGGTTTATATAAATTATCTTTGGCTTCTTTTGGTGATGTCTCGTTTGTTACAAATGTATCAAAGAAAAGGACTTTAATTCGTGAATCATCCTCTATGTTGTGGCATAAGCGATTGGGTCATATTTCTAAGGATAGAATGGAAAGATTAGTAAAAGATGAGATACTTCCTTCCTTAAACTTCTCCGATTTTGACACCTGTATAGATTGTATAAGAGAAAAGTTAACTAAGTCTACGAGGAAGGGTTCGACTAGGAGTAATGGAATTTTGGACTTAATTCATGCTGATATCAATGGACCTTTGCTTTCCACTATATGTGGGAATAAATATTTCATAACTTTCATTGATGATTTTTCACGATATGGATATGTTTATTTGATTAAAGACAAATCACATGCACTTGAGAAATTCAAAGTTTTCAAACTGGAAGTAGAGAAACAATGTGAGAAAAGTATCAAAGTTGTAAGATCTGACCGAGGTGGTGAGTACTATGGGAAATATGACGAGTCTGGTCAAAATATGGGTGATTTTGTAAAACTTTTACAAGAGTGTGGAATAGTACCTCAATACAACATGCCAGGGACACCTGAGCAAAATAGTGTTTCTGAAAGACGTAATCGAACTCTAAAAGATATGGTTAGAAGTATGATGAGTAGAACAAATTTCCCTAAATATTTGTGGGGTGAAGCCTTGAAAACAGCTCTGTATATTTTGAACAGAGTTCCAAGTAAAGCTGTTGTAAAGACACCGTTTGAATTATGGACAGGATGTAAGCCAAGAATGGCTCACTTTAAAGTTTGGGGATGTCTAGCTGAGGTTAGGATTTATAATCCATTTGAAAAGAAATTAGACCCTAAATCAACTCCTGGCTACTTTATTGGGTATCCGGATAGATCAAAGGGATATAAGTTTTACTGTCCAAATCGCGGCACTAGAATTGTGGAGTCCATTACTGCTAAGTTTCTGGAGAATGATTTTGGAGACAGTGGGAGTTCCACGTTGAGAGAAATTCTTGTTGAACCAAATCAAGTTGTTGTTCCAGTTCCTGTCATACAGGAAAGAGTTGGTTCTCAACCAATTGAAGTTGTTAATGAAGAACCAAGGAACCAGGAGGAATCTCCAATTCCTCAAACAACGATTGAATCGGTTCCTGAACCACAAGTTAGGAGATCACAAAGGGAAAGAATATCTGCATTGCCCAGTGATTATGTTACATATTTATTGGAGAGCGATTTTAATATTGGGCATATTGTTGATCCTGTAACTTATAACCAAGCATTGACAAGTCGTGATGCAGATAATTGGATAGCTGTCATGGAAGATGAAATGAATTCCATGGAAAGGAATAAAGTTTGGGATCTTGTTGAACTTTCTCCAGATGCTAAGGCTGTGATAACAAGTGGATTTTCAAAAGTAAATTAGATTCAAAATGAAATGTTGAACGAAAGAAAGTAAGATTGGTTGCAAAAGGTTTCACTCAACGAGAAGGCATTGATTATGTTGAAACCTTCTCCCCAGTTTTGTCGAAAGATTCTTTTTGAATTATCATGGCTCTTGTGGCACACTACAATTTGGAGCTTCATCAAATGGATGTTAAAACA